CTTTCACGTCTCCGTCTTGCAAAATAGTTACATGTCCCTTCAATACATGGCGGGTAGGAGGCTGTATTGACGATTTCCACTCCTACTCGCATGCACAGTCCGGTCTGCGTTTACAGCTAAGGGATGAAACACAAGCTGCATCGTAAAATGTCTTTTTGTACATGACACTTAAGTCGAATCCTTCTATTCTACTATTCAGTTAAATCTGTGTCTGCAGGGGAAGAAATACTCCATGTTTGGATTTTGCCTCTTTCGTGCTTTTCTTTTCCAGCAGCATTTTAGTAGCTGCAGAGCTGCTCAAATTCCATCGAACACACTCACCTCATTCTGTCCGCTTAAGAAACTTATCAAATAGACATGTAATATATAACTGTAAAACCTCATAATTTTGTCCTTTCCCAAAATAGCGAAAAATACTTTTTCAAAACCGGTCCCATGCATAACTTACTTCAATGCAATGCTGAAAAGATTGTTGATTTGTTTGCTTTTCAGTGCTCTTAATTTCAGCAATGCACTCAATGCTTCATTGTCCTCCTCGGTGAGCTCGCCACGTCCCATGTTGCATGCTATCCACAACAGCAATTCCATTGCATAACGTTGTAACTGCAATACCATAACTTATCAATTAGGCTCTAAGATAAGCAGAAGAAATCGAACAGCGACGATGGTTTGCCTCGCCATGGTTTTTATCCCTCAATTTTCTACTTTCCATCAGAATTTACTGAATTTATAATTTTTTTTTGCTCCGGGCATTTCGGCTTCGGATTTGCTTAAATAAATATTAAAAAAAAATCCTGCGTTCTTCTTGCACTATTCAACTAGCATATTTCTTTTTCGGTAACAGTTCTGAAGAGAAGCAAGAGGACCTTACAAAGATGAGCAGACAGAATGTTTGAGGGATCAAGGGAATGCGATGCGTAAAGTAAGTCCTCCAAAATGACAGCGTAGAAGTGAAGTCAGAATTGGATCGCAGTATGGTGACCAACACATCAGTCAACCATTAAATAAATGGCAATGCGCACCAGACTAGCCGGTGCGATCATGCGTTTTGTGCAATTCAGCCCA